CCACAGTGCTTGTCGAAGCCAGTTCTGATTAATCTCCTTTGTTAGTGTGTCCTTTGCCATTCCCTATCTCTCCTCCCTGAGACACAGTATTCTTAAAGACAACAGAACCCTATCTTGTTGGAATTATAGATTATTTTGGTGAAAAGTTTCTCTCGAGGAATCTCACCAAAATACCAAATCGAAACACTGGTTTTAACAGAATAATTGAGGCAAATCAATACTGCTTTGAAAAGTCCCAATTTTTCCCTTTAAGTGAGTTTCTCGATGAGTGCCGGCAGCCTGTGGACCCGAGTGGCCTGGCTTTATTATGGTGTTGGTCAAAGTCCAGCAGAATTCCCACAACCCGAGACTCAATATGGCACTATCAATTTCAGTGCACTTTTTCAATAATCGTTACATTTCCACAAAAACACTGGATACCTCAGAATTAGACTGTCATCAAACAACACTATATTTTTTTTTTTCATTTTAGATTCTTTAATGCATTCGGAAAAAAATTGCTTCTTTCAAATATATAACATTATAGAACTTGCTGGTATCATTCACCAAATCCCTGGTGTAAACCAGATTAAACACGGAGTTGAATCCTAGGAACCTGAGTTCCACATCAATAACTATATTTTTCAATGATCTTAGTTTGAAGCCCTGCCCCTCTTTGTTTTTTATCAGTCACATAGACGCTCTCCAGCTTACTTTTAAAAAAAAACCAAAAACCAAAAAGTCCACCTAAATGAGTTGTAGTTCGTAAATAACCAATAAATACACCGCTGGCTTGGAGACTTGGGGCCTGCCACTGTGCCTCGTGCCACTGTCATTTTTCTCCAAACGCTGCCTCTGCCATTGGCGTCCTTATGCTTCCTCTAGCGGAGGCCGTCAATTCTACAATCTCAGCGTTTAATTTGTTTATTACCCATTCTATGGCTTCTCGACCTTTACTAGCGTTGGAAGAGATGCTACTCGCCATCAGACTTTCCAGGTAGCTGCTGAGGCTGACGCCCTTGACGGTGACGATGGCTTCCTGAGTGAGAAGCGTTTTGTCCGGGTGCTGAGGATGAGGCTTGTAGATGAGCCTCTCGTCCACAGAGACCACATTTGTAAAGGAAATATTAGTGGATTTCAGTTCCATCTTTTTCTCTACTGGGTCAACTACAGAATGCTCCCGCACGTATGTCTTTGTTCGAGATGCACCGGTAAGAGATCGCACCAGAGAGGGCAGGCCCCAGTCCGTGCTCAGAAGCCGCAGGCTGTGCAGCTTACCCGAGGGGTCCACACGCCTGTGCAGGACATCGACGCCCACCACACTGGGGTTCATCGGGTTGGGGTACTTCTGCATCGCAGCCGCTGTGACTGTTTCCCAGGGGTGGTTGAAGACATGCTCGGAGGTCCAGATCTTCATGGTGCCGGTGACCCGCGCAACGACCCGGTGACCCACGCGACGACCCGGTGACGGCGGCACTAGGGCCCAAAGAGGCCAGAAGCAACTCTAGCCGCGGCCCCGCCCCCAACCGCCAGCCAGCACGCAGAGTGAGACCGTAGTTGAAGTCGTGACTCACCACTCCAGGCGTCCTATTCCTCTGGGTCATGTCGCAGCCTAGCACTCTGGGCAATGAGGCCCCGCCCCTTAGTGCCGGCGCAGCGCTCTTGCGCAGTTCCAGGGCGGTGCCAGGGCCGCAAATACCTTTCGTAAGAAATATGAACAATTGGAATATTCTCCTTTATCTTGTTGTGGTGCTCGAGTATTTTATAAAT